GTGAAATTGTCTTTTTTAAAAAAAGAGGAGGGGGACCAGGGAGATGGCTCAGTGGAGTAAGTGCTTCCCTGGCAAGCACAAATGCCTTAGTTCAAAGTCCGGTGCAACTAAAGGAGAGAGAGAGAGAGAGAGAGAGAGAGAGAGAGAGAGAGAGAGAGAGAGAGACTGTATCAAAGAAAGAAAGAAAAAAGAAACAAAACAGGTAAATGAAATAAATGCATTCCTATGCCTTAGACATTTACCTTCATAAAAATCCAACATTAAAAAAAAAATCATATATGCAGCAGGATGGCTTGGATAACTGTACTGCTGATTTCTGTTGGTCCACTGAAAGGAGCAGTTAATGCTTAAATGTTTTCTTTTTAATTTTTTATAACTTTTCTTTAACCAATATTGCATGTTTATATCTGGTAATCTAAAAAACTAATCTGAAGACAACATTATCTAATACAACAACCATTGCCAAATTCCTATTATTTTGTTTAGTGAAATTCTGTATCATTTCTACATTTCTAATTTTTCCCCCACCATTTTGTATTCTCTTTAAAAAACAAAAAATAAAGCCTGGGAGATAGCTTGGCAGTCTAAGCACCTCCCTGGCAAGCACAAGGACCCAGGTTCAATCCCTGGTACCACATGCTGTGCTGGCCCTGCATGTGCCTGCCACTGAAACCAGGTGTGGTGGCACATGCCTATAATCCTAGCACTGGGGAGGCTGAGACAAGACGATCACTATGAGTCCAACCTGCATAGCGAGACCCTATATCAAATAAATAAATACATCTTTAAAAAATAAATAAAATAAAAAATACATAAAATGATTATGAAAATTTTAAAAATCTTATAGTGCTTGCCTGGCAAGCACAAGGTCATGAGTTCAATTCTTGGTACTGGTACTACTACTACTACTACTACTACTACTTCTACTACACTAATATCATAAATCTTTTCAGGTTGAGGATATAGCTCAAGAATATAGCACTTGCCTAGCAATGAAAGACCCTAAGTTAGATCCCCAGCATTCCAAAAACTGAAATAATGAATGTTTTGTCTGCATCCAGTGGGATACATGTGTAACTCCAGCTATTGGGGAGGATGACAGGAGGACAGAAAGCTCAAGACCAGCCTGACTTTGTCTCAAAATAAAAAAACAAAAAAGGGATGGGGGTTGGGCCCACAGCACCACAAAAAAACAAAACAAGTGCTCTGTCTGCATAGTGTTAACAGCCTCATTTATAATGAAAAATAAGTAATGGGAATTTCATGGAGTTAAAATTACATTTATGAAAACTATGTAGAAAGTGTAATCACACACAGTTCAGTTGCAAAAAATATTTACTTCATCATAGTAGTTCCTCCAAATTGGTATTCTGAGAGGAGAGGAAATGTCTGCACACAGACATAAGAATGCTGAAGCCTTCACTCTCCACAGTAGAAAGTCAGTAGATGGGCTCAAAACAACTTTAAAAAGCAGTAAAGGAGAGCCAGGGATATAGCTGAGAGGCATGCATGCCTGGCAAGTGCGAGGTCCCAAGTCTGATCCCCAGTACAAAAAAAGGAATTTTAATTTGAAAGAAGTCAGCCTGTGAGGAAAGAGAACGGAGCAGAAGACAGCTGCCTCTGACTGGAGTTCAGAGGCAGCACAAAAGCTATGCAGAAGAGCTCCCCACACTACGACACACATCCAGGGCTCAGCACAGCAAAGGCCAAGCCCAAGTCCACTGTCCTGGTGACTGTTTCCTATAATAAAGTTACAGGGGCTTTTCTTATATTTCAAGATTTTCTTTAAGCTGATACTTCTTTGGTTTTTAAAATTTAGTTTTTGAAATAAGATCCTCAGACTGGCCTCACACTTCGGATCCTCCTGTCTCAGCATCCCTGAGTAGCTGGGATAACAGGTATGCTGACATTACTTCCATGATGGGAGAAAGATCACTTTTTGGTTTTTTATTTTTTTATTTTTTTTGGCGGAACCAGGGATTGAACTCAGACACTTGGGATTGCCAGGCAAGCACTTACTCTACTGAGCCATCTCCCCGGCCCCACTTTTTGTTGAGACAGGTTCTCATTATGTAGTTGAGGCTGGCCTTAAACTTATTATGTAGCCCAAACTGGCCTTAATCTCACAACAATCCTCATAACCTTAGCCTCCTGAGTGATGGGATTACAGGTTTATGCCACTATTCCTGGCTGTTTTTTTTTTCCTTTTAAGGTCCTATGGATTGAACTCAGGGCCTTCACACTAAGCTAGATTCTCAGCCCTTTTTAAAATCTTTTATTGAGACAGTGTCTCACTAAATTATAAAGTTGGGGCCGGGGAGACAGCTCAGTAGAATAAGTGTTTGCCTGGCAAGCATAAGATCCTGAGTTCAGTTCCTGGTACTGCAAAGAAAGAAAGAAAAGAAAGAAAAGAAAGAGTAAGTTGCCCATGCTGGGCTTGAACTTGTCTCAGTCTACCAAAGTGCTGGAGTTAGAAGTATATGCCACTGTACCAGCTATTATACCTCAACTCCCAGACACTGTGTCAGCCCCACAAAGCCCATTCTCAGAAGCCTCAACGCAGGTCACCTATTGGGAAAAAGACAGGCTGGGCCACAGCATAGGCCCAGCCCCAACCAGAGGCTGGGGAGAAGCACGGACTGAGGTCAGGCTTAGCTGGTACCTACACCACAGGAAGGAAAATCTGACTTCCTGTCTCCACACCTTCTCCTCACTGGCCCCACCAAGTTCTTACTCTCTACCATAAGAATGGAGGAAACTAAAATGCTCTCATGCCAGATGTGGTGGCACATTCCTGTAATCCCAGCACTCATAAGGCTGAGGCAAGAGGATGGTTGTGAGTTCGAGACCAACATGGGCTACAAAGTGAGCTCAGGGCCAGCCTGAACTGCATAGTGAAACCCTGTCTCAAAAAGACAAAAACTGAGCTAGGGATATAGCTCAGCAGCATAAGCACCTGCCCAGAAAGTGCAAGGTCCCAAATTCAATCCCTAGTACTGAAAGAAAAAAAAAGACATAAATAAATAACATTCTCAGGGCCAATAGAATGGTATTTGTCTACATTTTTTGTGAGTTTTTTGTTTTGTTGTGTTTTTGTGTGTGTGTGTGTGTGTTGTTGTTGTTGTTTTTTATATATAGACAGGGCCTCACTGTATAGTGCAGACTGGCCTGGAACTCTTTTTTCTTTTTTTAAACGTATTTGGTTGTTGCAAGGTCTCACTACACAGCTCGGACTCATGGTGATCCTCCTGCTTTCAGCCTCCCCAGCTCTGGGAATACAGGCGTGCACCACTTTGTCCAGACTTTGGCAGCTCAGCCAGCCCTGGGCAGGGCTGACACAGCATGTAGTGCTGGGGACTGAACCAGTCCCTGTGCTTGCCTAAACTTGCCTAAGCAGGTGCTTTAACCCACTGAGCTATCTCACTGGCCCTGGCCTGGAACTCTTAATAATTCTTCTACCTCAGCCTCCTGAGTGCTAAAATGACAGCCCAATACCACCTCACCCAGAATGTCTGAATGTTACACTCTGAATTTTTTATAGACAATTCCGTAAATTTTGTGACTATTGGGCTGGGGATATAGCTTAGTGGCACAAGCACCTGCTTGACAACTGCAAGGTCTAGAGTTTGACTCCTGGTACCAAGAAAGAAAAAAAAGTTTGTGACTATCGCAAGATGAAAGAAAGAAAGCTGGGTGTGGTAGCTTATGGACTATAATTCCAGCACCAGGCAGATCAAGGCAGGAAGATCATTGAGTTTGGGACCAGCGTAGGCTATAAAAGGAGCTCAAGGCCAACCTGAACTGCATAGGGAAACCCTGTCTCAAAAAAAAAAAAAAAAAAAAAAGTGAGAGGAAGGGAGGGGAGGGAAGGAGAGGGAAGGGGACAGGAGCAGAGAGGAGAGGCTGGGGATTTAGCTCAGTGGCACAGTGCCTACCCTGCAACCTTGAGGTCTTTAGTTTGAGTCCCAGTCCCTCCCCTCCCCCCCAAAAAAGTCCTATGGATCCAGCATGGCTCATTAACCACTTGGTCACTTCTCTCATCCCTGAAGGCTGGCCCCAAACACTGGTGTCATTAGGGGAACACGGGGAAGGGCAGGGGTGGCCCTCACACCTCTCTTGTTATGAGCAGCACCCAGCAGTGTGGTTTCAGCTGACTATGGCCTCCCTTGGGAGAAGCGGGGAGGATGAAAGCAGTGCACAGCCTGCTTCCGGACCCTTCCCTGCCTCAAACTCATTACCCACTCTTAGGAAAAAACAGCGCCTTAGTTGAAGAGCTAAGGGCTCGGGCTAGATGGCCTAGGTTCGAGTCCTAACCTTGCAACCTTCAGAAAGTCCTGTAGCTCACTGTGCCTCAGTTTCCTCATCTGACACAAGATGAGGGGCCGTGCTGGCAGAGGACCAAGATCCAGGCAGATGAGATCCCTGCGCAGCCAAGGACCTCATTCATG